ATCAGAGAAGCAGGAAAGCTGACGTTTCGGGTCTGGACCCTTCTTCTGAAGACCCGAAACATCAGCTTTCCTGCTCCTCTGATGCTGCTTGGCCTGCTGTGTTCATCCAGCTCTACACCTTGTTATCCTAAATGAGGGATAATGTCATTATTTAAACAGTTCTTAATTCACCTTGTTTGTTCAACCCCTTCCTCCTCATCTTACATCACCACTGTGTCAGAATCAAAAGCCAGTTCACTCTCTCCACTAATGCAATTTGACTGACTAAAAACTTCAAAAATTTGGCACTCCTCACCCCTCTGCAGTTTTCGCTTTGGTTTCGTCTCTGGCTTTTAAAGCCCATTTGTTACATCTTTGATCCTTTGTTTTTCACAAAATCACCGAAGTGCAGATGGCCATCAGTTTATCAGTTTATTCCGAATGAACGTTATAGCCTGGTGCCATTCTCCCTCATTTTCCCTGTTGCCTCAAACATTACTCACACTTAAGTAATCATCTGATGCCCTCTTGAGTGTTTTGATTGAAACTGTCTCCATTGTATACTCCGGAATGCGTTCCAGACCCTAAATACTCATTGCTTGAAAGAGCTTTTTATCCCCACATCATATTTGCTTCTCTTGCAAATTATTTCATATGTGTCCCCTGTCATTCTTGTTTTCTTCTATGTTCAATGTGTCCCTCCAATCAGAAAAAGAACTGATGGGTGTAAAGAATCCCTTTGTCTGAAGGGATGGCTGAGGCAGTAGGGGGAAGGGGAGAGTGGGGAGTTGCATAGCCTTGAGGACCTGGGATGGCCGAATGGGAAATGATCCATGAATGCTGAATGAAGAGGGTGGTTTGTGCCTCTCTGAAAGATAATCTCAGTTGTTCACTCTTCTCCCCAGTGCCCTGTCATCATTTTTCCTTCAATATTTATCCAATCCTCTTCAAAAGTTTCTGTTGGATCCGTATCCAACACCCTCTCACAGGCGGTACATTCCAGATCACAACAATGCACTGAGCAAATCTTTTTTCCTCATGTCATCTTTGATTCTTTTGCCAGTCTTCTTAAATCTGTCTTGGTGACCCTTTTAGCACTGGAAACAGTTTCTCGCCTAAACCCTTCAATAATTTTGAATCTTTCGTTAAATCTCCTTATTAGCTTCTCTCTTTCTACAAAAGTAAAATGCCACATTGTCCTTTCTCTCCACATCACTGAAGTCCCTTATCGCCTGTACACACTCCAATACATTTCTTTTGCATTCCTTCCAAAACCATAATACCTTTCTGCCATTGGGTTTGGAGGCACGGGGGAGTCTATGAAATCCAGTAGGTGGCTTTCCCCCTGTGTCCAACTGCCTTTTTGAAACTTGATGGGGTGTGGAGGAGGCACTGGGCAGCTCATCCACTCTTGGGCCAGTTGAGGCCCTTAAATGTTCACTCAAAGGCTTCATCCTATCTCCACCAGTATTTTACCCAGGGTGGGGAGGCAGCAGAGATGGGGAAGCCCATCAGGTTTAGCTGCAAAGACTG